CGTATCTATGTACATCTACATATGTATACATCGTTTTATATATCTACATATAAGTAAATAGTTTTTCCTGAAGGGTTACCTGGTTTTCATACATACATACATACATATGTAGATGAAAGTTAAACAGAGTCTATAATAGTTGAGAGCCGCTCACAAGATTAAGTTGTATTACACAGAACTCTTTCAAGATAAAGGCATTTAAATACAAAATACAGAGTACCTATAAAATGGTATTTTCAATTGTTTTTGATGTAAACAAATCTATATTCGTACATACATAAATTACTTATCAGTATAATATAATAACATTGCGGTCTTTGAAGCTTTAAGAAAGATGGGCCCAGCTTTGTGTGAGGTTTTTGGGGCAATCGCATCTTTTTTTTTGTCTGGTTAATGATTTTTATTGAACAGTTTTATTTAAGGTAGCAAAGCAAAAAATTTTTTGCCATTATTTAATTTTTGCATCTTATTATAGAATATGCATGCAATTCATACATACACACATACACACATACATATGTTGTCACGCACAAGCAAACACTCATAACAGGCTTATCAGTTCCTTCTAGTAAAAATAAAAACAAATGGTGACTGTCTGTAGCACTCTGCCCATTGCATAATGCTTCGATAATCGTACAATAATAATTCTCGTATTACAAATTCATTCTGTAAAAAGTTCGTGTTAAGATCATTACAAGTTTCCGTTAAAGTGTTGTAATTTCTAAAAAAAAAAATAACACCCACAGTTGAACAAAACAGTGTATTTAATAAAACAAAGGATAAATAAAGTGAATAAAAGAAAACAATAGTCAACGCTGCTGATATAAGTAATTGTAAACATTTCACCAAAATGCACTCTTTACGTTACGCTCGTTCATATACTCCGACATTTTTGCGAGCTTTTACCGCTGCCATCTCGAACAACGCTGGGGTAAGGCAAGTTTTCAATGAAAAAACAAAAACAAAATGGTTAGAGTCTGCGAAAATGTATTAATTTTTATATTAGATAGAACATATCAGAGTGGGTCATCATAATAATATGATTTGAATGAAAAAGTTGCTGGCAGTCGCTTAAAATAAGTTTATTTTTTATTTAACAACAAATGTATATTAGTACGCATATTGTTATGTATTATTTCGAAGTAGTAAATTAACAGGTCAGCAAACATTAAATTAATTAAATACAATTCATACTGTAAGTAAGTATCTGTGTTATTATGTTATGATAAGAGCTGAATCGCTTTTCATTTTAATAATCAAATTTATTTATACAAGTTTGCATTGAAAAAATTAAGCTTTACATTTTTAATCATATTTCTTTTTCTTTTTTGGAACACTAACAACCGTCCTTTTATCTTGCAATATTTAACTTTTTTTTTGCGGATTTTTTAAGCCTCCCTGTGATTTTCATTCCACATAAGATATCCGAATTTATTTTATATTAAGCTTACCTGTAAGAATGTTTCACGAAGTTCACAATTATTCCATTTCTAACATTCATGATCCACTGACTTCCAATTTTTATGGATTAATGTGGTTATGTGAGAATTTTTCAGCTATCATACTTAGTCCTGCCATAAGTTCTGTTACAAGTTCAGACCTATGAAACAATGCATATATTAAATATGCACACAATTTTATTCGTAATCATCTGCAGATATGAAACCAAGAATATTGATTTTAAGCCACTACAAGGTGGTTTTTGGCTTGTATGCTGGAGCAGAACTTGCTGGCAGATCCAATGCTCTTAATAGAAGAGATTATTACTTAACTGCTTTACCACGCCGTCTAAAAAATCCGGCTGGTACACTTTGGCCCCAGTTTTAATTCCTTTTTCACAGAAATGAAGAGGTGTAACGCTTTTGCAGGAGAATCCCCACCAAACCATTACAGCAGGTGGATCGTGATCAGGTTGAAATTTGGAAATAACACGTTTTGCGTATGTGAAAGTTTTTGCATGGATTTTATCGTTTTACTTATAAAAAATTCCTTCAGCAGTGCAAATTTTTCCATCTGTAAAAAGAATATTGTCATGGCCGGCGACCGCGTGCCAAAGAACAAGCCGCTTGTATCTGTTGAGCCTAATTGCTTCAAGCGCAATGTCTGAAGATGAGCAGTTGACCGACGGTAGGCTTTTATGTGGAGAACATTTGTCTGATCTGGTCGATATATCTATTTCCATACATAAATTTCGGTTTTCTAAGAGGATTTCTACAAATGCGATCGCGAACAGTTTTTATGGCGAACCCCGCCAGTACGACCACTCATCTACAGTAGACATTTTCGAAATATTATGTGTTTTGAAAAGCTCATAAGTTTCACTTGCATTTTTCCACACTTATGTATGCCAAACAATCACCACAAAACGAAGTTCTCCCCACCCGATTGTTAATAAGCGAAAGCAAATACTGAACTGATTTTTTCTGCGAATTTTTCCTCGTTGTAAGCATTGTAAACTTTGTGACAGAATGGCAAGACCAATAATTTTTCAGTTCGACCCGACCTTAATGATCCCTTTCCGATTTCAGTAGAAATTATCTAAGAAGGGATGTACACTTATAAAGTTATGTTTATTCAAAAGAGATAATTTAAGTAAGCAACTTTAATTCAAAGCTTCAAGAGAAATTTATAAATTGCTCGAAAATTAATATAATATAATAGTATAATAGGCAATTTGTAAAAATAGACATATGTTAAACTGAGACTGCCTTTCAATAGATAAGTGATCTGGCAATATATTTATATATAAATATTTTCCAACTGCCATATAACAATTATTAACAATTGTATTTTTCATATTTCAGATGGCCAATAAAATTCGCGCTGGTCCCGTTGTGGATATTCTCGGTGATGAAATGACCCGCATTATTTGGTCTTCGATTAAGGACAAATTGATTTTGCCTTTCCTCGACATCGAGTTACATACCTACGATCTTGGCATGGAATATCGTGACAAAACTGAAGATCAGGTTACAATCGATTGCGCTGAAGCGATTAAGAAATACAATGTTGGTATTAAGTGTGCAACTATCACTCCCGATGAGAAACGTGTGGAGGAGTTCAACCTGAAGAAAATGTGGAAATCACCCAATGGCACCATACGTAACATTCTCGGCGGCACTGTTTTCCGTGAAGCTATCGTCTGCAAGAATATTCCACGCTTAGTTTCTGGTTGGGAGAAACCTATTGTTATAGGCCGTCACGCGCACGGCGATCAATACAAAGCTACAGATTTCGTAGTACCTGGCCCTGGTACATTGACTCTTACTTTCAAGCCAAGCGATGGTGGGGAAACCATTTCGCATGAAGTCTATCAATACAAAGGCTCTGGCGTCGCCATGGGAATGTTCAATACAGACGAATCCATTGTTGATTTCGCCCATGCTTCTATGAAGTATGCGATATCGCGAAAACTTCCACTCTACTTAAGCACGAAAAATACAATTCTGAAGAAGTATGATGGCCGTTTCAAGGATATATTCCAAGATATTTACGACAAGCAATACAAGAAGGAATTTGAGGCTCAAGGTATTTGGTATGAACATCGACTAATCGATGATATGGTTGCGTATTGCATGAAATCAGAAGGAGGTTTTGTTTGGGCCTGCAAAAACTATGACGGTGATGTACAATCCGACTCAGTTGCACAAGGTTTCGGCTCACTCGGTTTAATGACGTCGGTACTAATTTGCCCAGATGGCAAGACAGTCGAGTCGGAGGCGGCACATGGTACAGTGACACGTCATTATCGTATGTACCAACAAGGCAAAGAAACCTCAACCAACCCCATTGCATCGATCTTTGCTTGGACCAGAGGCTTGTTGCATCGTGCACATTTGGACAGTAATGAAAGCTTGAAGCAGTTTGCCGAAACGCTTGAGAAGGTGTGCGTAGATACCATCGAGTCGGGTAGCATGACCAAAGATTTGGCTATCTGCATCAAGGGCATGAACAAGGTGCAACGTAGCGATTACTTGGAAACATTCGAATTTATGGATAAGCTAGCAGAAAATCTGCAAAAAGCACTTTCGCAATGACTTCCCGAAAAAGTGATGCATATTGCAAGTGTAAAGAGCAATTCACATCTATAAGATGCAGGTGATGGTTTTGCGATATATAAATGTGAAACTTAATAACATTTATGCCCAGTATGTAACATATTTGTCACATCCAAAAATTGTTTACGACTTCAAAAGTTCAATAAATGCTTTTATATTCAATATATGTATGTACTATGTAATACTTTAAACAAGTGGTTTTATTTTTTTATTAGCAGCAAACCTATGTATGTGGATAAAAACCCACTAAGACGCCGGAAAGTGATATTTTCAACTTTTAACTGCATATCATTATACTGCATGGGTTGAACCTTCGGACTGAGTGGACTGCCGATGGTACTCAGAAGTGTAATGATAAATCCATGTTTCATAATTGTTACATAGCGCTACCGTAGCTCGTTCTTCTTGCATTTTATCAGTGCTACATTGTCCTTTTCAGAGCCGAACACGTTTGCCATTTTTGTACAAATTCGAGAATATGACATGGGTACTTTTGAGACCAATAACTTGCAATTTTTAGAACTATTCGATAAAATGTTAAGAAACTTTGACAGTATTGTTATTACGATTATTATTCTACGACAACAATATAGATTTTTTGTGTATAGATATCTATAGATCTCTCGGTCAAGCGTGGACTTTTCAGCCAATGTGGTATATTGATTGCATTTGTACATCCATAGCATTCTATATCTCGTATTTAAATGCCTTGAAGTCTTGACACCAAAATAATAGTCTACCGGTCGGGAAATTCTGTCTTCCATTTACCGTACTGAGTTCCAAACTACGTCGGCAATTCTTATTTAAGCGAATATTTGTTCTCTACCCTTAGCAGTACATTCCAAAAGGTCTTTAACCCATCAGAAAACAGATGCAGTCGTTGTAGTAGTAACACCTCACTGCTGAGCAACATTGTAATTTTAATTTTTCAAATTTGTTCTGTGCAGTGCGCGCTGACAAGCGCTTCTAGGGCTTCTATTGAGCTGTGGAAAAACTAAAACTTATTAGATTTGTCGAGGTGCTAGTTTTAGTCTTTCGTTAATATTCAAACGTGCAAGATGCTTGCACCACTAAGCGCGTGGAAAATTAAAAACAAAAGACACTAATTTAATTTACCCCTCGCAAGGACCGGCATTGATGTTCAAATTCGTTATACAACCGCAAATAGTATTCTTTTATTTTATATGTTCAAACCTACATAAATATCTCTAAGTTGAAGTTGAATTCGGATATGCAAAAAAACAAACATTTATTAGCAAAATGTGTGACCTTTACATTTACCATGTTGCTATTTGTGGGCTATATTTCGGTGCCGGTGAATGGGTATCCTTCGAACACGTTTCGTGATCTCGATATCTGTAATCATTGGAATGGACGACGGCATTTTCTGGAATTGGGTGAACGTGGAGATTTGCATGCGCGCAACGTGACCACGTCGGCCTTCCGAGTGTGTAACTACTTCGTATCCTCCGTTGTTTTGTCTATGAATATTTTAAAGTATTTCTTTTCCATATCGTAGAGTACTCTCTTCTCGCCCACAAATCCCAGCCAAATGAAGAATCGCAGTAGCACCGATATTTGGTATCAGTGTAATTTGGAGCTTGTAACCTGTGCTGAATGCGTCATACGTATAACGTTCATTCACGTTAACTTCTCAAAAACATGCGAACGCATTGCTAATTCCGGTATTGGAAAATCCTCACTTTGTCCTTGCGAACACATACAATTTTCAGAACCTCCATATGATACAACTCTTTCGGGGCAGGAATTCTGCGGTGATGGCAAGGTCTTTCGCAGCAAAACGCGTACATTGTTGCTGAAATTTTTTTATCGTGCCACCAACAGTCATGTATTTTCGCTACAATATTTTTCGGAAAGTATGTGGATGCTTTTAACATCTCTCTAACATATATGTACTATGTATATTATTAAAACATAATTATATATGTATGCATATGTATTCCAAATCAGGAAATGTTAAGATTGTCAGCGGCTCACCGAGACAGGCCATAATCAGCAACTACTCCAAAAATGAGCCGTATATTATATCAACGCCTTATTTCCCAATGCCATATCCACGAGATTACGGCATCGAGCATATATTAACGTGTGAATCGGAAAACTGTCAAGTTCGACTGGATTTTACCGACTTTCAATTAGGGCTCACTTCCACATTGGAGATATTCGATTCAAACGGACAAATGTTGGACTCATATACCGGTGAACATTTTCGCCCGCCCATTACTATTAGCAACGGTAAATCACTTTTACTTCAATTTCGTGGAAATGGCAATACCGGAGTTGGGTTTCGGGGTGAAATAACTTTTGTCTCATCCAAACAATTGAAAGAAGACAGATTAGTTCCATATACAGGTTAGTCATAATTATTTATAAATCGTAAATTAAATCACTTTATTTGAGTGAGATTTACTCAAGATGTCACTTTTAGATTTATAAAGAGGTATTAAAACCTTTGAAGATATTAAATTATATAGACAAAATATTCGAGTCTATTTCTGACATAAAAAGGATTCCACTAAAATCTGTTAACCCACGCCAAAATAGTTAGAGAACGAAACTATCTCAACTTTACACATTTCAAATTCTAGTCTAGGAAAAATACCAAAACTCTGAAGGGATGCTTTCTTTTAAAATATAAACAATAGCAAGATTATATGTCATCCACACATATCCCCCAGGGTTCTTATATGAAGAGGGTTCATTAGCAAACAATTGAGAATGTATTCTGTTTGAATATGAATTGAATGTTTTTGAACGTCTTAATTATAAACAGTAATATTGCAGTTTATTGTGAAAAAGATCACAAGAACTCACATCGCAGTCTAGCTCTGATAAATGATATGACTAATACTTGTAGTCCTTCTCAACTACGGAAGGGATTTCAAATAGCAAATGAATTTTTGCAGCGATAACGTCGCAGTATAAAATTGTAATCTAGTATTGAAAACAAGAGGAAAGATACTGTTAAATTAGAATATATGTATTTATGTACATCCTTTTTGACTATATAAAATTTACAAAGAAATAAATCCAAAGTTAAGCACGAGACGACTGCAGTTAGTAATAAAAACATTTGAAGGTCTTCCAAGTTATTCAACATGACAAAAACAATTTCGTATTTTATTATTGTCTTTTTTACCTTATTCGAGAAACAAGACATACAATTACTACTACATATATAATATATGAATGAGAGACATAGGTGAGAACTCACAACCGTGGAGAAGAACACCGCATAGCAATGGAGAGGTTGGCATTTGACCTGAAATGAAATGTACTCAATTTCCGTGCAAAAAAATCAATGCACTCTGTTTGTTTTAATGAATTTTCTTTGCATATGTATTTCTTTGAATTAGTGTGCATAATATTATTCTTCTTCATTGGCTTTGTGGGCAATATGGCCTTGTGCCAATAGCTTAAGTCTTACATGGCCGATGTAATTAACAAAAAAAAAACATGCGATTAGCAGTTAGTATTAAAAAACATGAAGACAATAGTAAAGAATGAAGGAAGTAGGTTCGAGTACAGCCGATGACCATATAATCTCAATATTTTCATGAATTAAATGAAGGAAGGTTGGAATACAACGAGCTGTATTCAGCTTAACGTTTGTCATTAGCCAAGATTTTCATTCACTTAAATTGGGCAGTGTCACATCTATTGCAAATTTCTCCTACTATTCACCTTAAATTATGTTCTATGTACATATGAAACCTTAAACCTCTTAAACGTTACTTAAACTTTAAAGAGTTGGCACACCTTTAATAGTTTCGAACATAACCGTAATGTGGTTCAAGCAGTGTATGAACTCAAGTATTTATATATAATATACTTGTATAACCATACAAAAAAAGTTACAAAAACCCGTTACTTCAACCAAACTGTTTAACACTTGTACACAATTTTGTGAGTATATAACATAACTATCTCTTTAGATTGTGGCGGTATGGTATCTGGACCAGGTGGTGCAATCACTATGATGAATATGATTGAAAATAGCACTGATGTGAGATTCTACGACTGTATATGGATAATTAAACCCGGCAACAATTACATGATGATGAAGACACACATATCATTGCGAGTTGAGGAATTTCACGGTATGGCTTCACGCTCCGATCTCACCATACGTCAAGGCACCACATCAGATGCAGCTGAAATAGAGAGTGTTGTTTGGCCCAATAATGGTATGAGTAAGGAAAGTCATATTGTACCGGTATTAACGGGATACTACATCCGTTTACGTGGTGTCTTCGGTATGTCTTCCAAATTGGCAATATCATACAGCGTGTTCAACTACTTGAGTGAGTGTGATTAAGAAAATTAAATTTTCAATTTCAATTGAATTGGTAAATAAGTGTGGGTTTCTTACATAGATTGCTATATTGGATCTGAATTCCTGTGCGGTAATAATCATTGCATCTCCATTAGGTTACACTGTGACGGTTTCGATCACTGTGGCGACGGCTCAGACGAGCCAGATTCATGTGAAGAAGATTGGGCTCATTTGCAAAACGATCGCCGTTGGTATTCACATAAACCCAATTATTATTTTCCCAAAATCGAGCAATATCCTGACTTGAAAACAGCAACCGGAATTTTTATAATAAGCACACTGGGCATATTTGCCGTTTTGACGGGTTGGATGGTCATATTGTATCGGATGGGAGTTAGAGCACGCCATCAGCGCGAGCTGCAAAGCCATCTGCAAACCATCAGTGAACTATTGGGTGAGTAAATAGTTTCAATGTATTATATATATCTAAATGTACGTTCTACATCGAAATTGGAGCTCTTTCCATTTCTAATTGTGTTAAATTGTGTTGACAAAGCCTAACCCAATTTATACAATAAGTACACTCGATTAACACGATTTTCCTTCAACAGATCGTCAAGAGGAGATGACCCCAGATGAACCACCAAGCTATGAAGCACCTCCAGATTATGAGGAGGTTATTAAGGTGGGCATGGAACATGAGATACGTGATGCTCGACAACGACAACGTCGTCGCCATCATCACCATTGTGGGCATGCAACATGTGTGCCGCATACTCATGTATGTGAACGTCCAACAACATCGGCTGCCGCCGCAGCTCTTGCTGTCGGAGGCACAGTGGACACAGATGTAGCTGGAACAGCAATACCGGATACAGAAATATGCAATGAATTGGCCAATCGTATACTGATGGCCACGGCAGCTTGCGGTAATATTTGATATTTTTTTGAGTATGTGCACATACATACATGTTAAATATCATATATGCCTTTTCACTAATCACATGTCTAAAGCGCTCTTCAAAGGCTAATATTTTTTTATTCATTTAATCAAAGAATCACGTTTACAGGCGGTGCAGGCGCGTCAGAACCGAGCTCGACTACACAGGGATGCTGTTGCTGTCAATCCGTGGGGATTCCGACGTGCCCGGCATCGCTTCCCATTGGGTGTGAATTATCCCCTACCATTGGCGAGCAACCGGAGGCCACAGCCAGCTCGTAAGTATTTTCGATCTCAACAATGTATGGTATTAGTATAACATAATATGTGTGTAGTGCCGGAACGCCGAGTCAACTTGAGGAACGAAGTGACGAATTTCGAGATGACTCACTCAATATATCGCTCACTCTAGGTATACCACAAACAACAATGGCTCTCAGCGAAAATAGTAAGTATTTGAATTACATATGAGATAGGATATATTTAAACACCACTATTAAAGGTCATTATGTTAATACTTGAATTTAAGTACGGGCAGAATGTGATTTTATTGATCTTTGATTAACCTTTAGATTCAAATGCTTCATCTCGACCGAAGAGCACCACTAATTACAGCGAGCAAAGTTATTTGAAACGTTCATGGATTGTGGTAAATAATGGTACACATAACTACAAGGTTCAACGTTTGCGTCATACATTCTCGGTGCCCGAGTCATTCCCTTTTGATGCTTATTGCCCCGATGTGCTAAATTACGGCACCAATCTACTCCATGAACGGTATGTATATAATTTCTGAGTACTTAGACCGCGTTTTAACGTTCTGTCTAAGTCGTTACCATAAAATAAGCGCTAACTCGGCTCATCTACTTATCTTTGTAGACACCTTTTCCTCAGCAATGCTAGCAACTTTGGTTCGGAGCTATCGCGAGACCCTTCTGCACACTGCATGAACACACGGCGACACCATCTACAACCATATCAACCGCAATCAGCTCAGCAACAGCGTAACGCAATTTTACAAGTTTGCAATGACGATTTATTTAACACCACTTCTACCGATGTTTGCATCGCATCTACAATTCACAAAAACCCCCCGACTGATGCAGGATATATACGGGATCATCTGCTGCACAACGAAACAGATAGCGACTGTGAGCGAAATGTATCTTGTTTTGGAGCGGTGACCCACCGTATACATGCTCGACGTTCTCACGGCAGACGTAACGTTCGCAGCAAATCATTCACGAACTCTACCAGCAGCCAACAACGTCATCATCAACGCGTCGCCAGTTGTGGTGGTGTAATGAGAAGAAGCTCATCGGCCGATTTGCTATTGCGTTTAAGTCCAACCACTTCACCTAAGAAGGAATGCAATAGTACGAGTGGAAATAGACAACAACACCCAAAACATGAAGAACTGACCTTTTTGATTTGAGGTGTAATCTAAAAGCAGTACATTGGGATGTTTGGAATCGGATATTAGATTCAAAATCTGTATCGAATTATTTTGAAAGTGAATATGTAACTAATGTAGAAGTTTCAGTTCGTCATTGGGATCTTTTTCAGTTTTTGGATGTGATTTAGCTGATAGTTTTATATATTATTAAATTATTATACTCATAAATATTATTGTTTATGTACATATATAATTTCCCTTGTTATATCTATTATCTATGGTCATTCAACGCCAACGGCTTCAGATATATTCCTATGGCACTTATTTATTTATAAAGCAAATATGAAATTATTGTAATTCAATGTATGTACCTTACAAGAAAAAAATATTAAGATTCAGAGAAAAAATAATTACATAATTTCATAAATTAGATACAATATGATTTCTTTCAATATATATTATAGAGGAATGGCCCCTGTAGAAAGATCAAGCCAGTAAACGAAAATGATTCTGCTCTCAACATTCTTCTGACAATGATCAAATTAGGGATATGTTTGCATAAAGTATGTGAATATCAAAAAGCTATATGAGCTTGTTCGAGGCAGACTAAAAAATCCTGCATCTGTAGACTAATATAGCTGATAGGAGCATTGCAACGAAGACCACTTTTAGACTCAAGGAGCATTGGGTCACAGCGAAATCGCCGAAAACTGCAAACCTATGAGCTGGAGAGGGCACCCTTACTCCTCTTGCGCTCTAGCGCTGGACCTATGGACTTCCCTTGAGATCGGCTAGCGCTGGTCAATAACCAGAACTTGTGCGGCTGCGACATCCTTCTGGCCCAGAGTCAACCAAACCCATAACCAGTAGACGCTCAAAGATGCTTTTGATCAAGATAGATAATACTTTAAAAATATTAAAGGAAAAAAGAAAAAATTTCAACTCCACATAATTGAATAATAGTTTTGTTAACCTAACGGTTGTAGGTTACACTCTAAAAACTCAGAATGACAAGGAAAACTGATTTCGCTATGTTTCTCTGTTCATTATTATATAACTTGCGGAGCTATAAGAGCAATTTTGTAAAAACGTTATGATGTGGATAGGGTCACCTCAAAACGTAATGTTGGGTGGATAGGATGTTATATTAACATAATATGAGAATCATTGTAAAAACTGAATGCTTATATTCACTTGTGCGTTCTTAGCACAGTTTTAAAATAGTCTAAATCGGACTACAAACAGCGCTCGTAATAAGTAATATCTCTCTACCAAAAATTTACCCAATTAATTATACCTTCAACCTGTTAATTTACGACGGTATGTAGCGCAATGCGGAATATAGCGATTTCCACCCACCCCCGTTAATTGGAACGTGTATATGTATGTATATGGTCAGAAATAATTTTTTTGACAGTGTGCTACACATATAATAAAATGATTGATTATTATAAATGAGAACTCAATATATTCCTATTGCGACACCGATGTAATGAATATGATGATTGCCGGGATATATTTACAATAAATTGTGCGAAAAAGTTTCTCTTGTTATTGTTGTAGCGGCAGAAAACATTCTTAATATCTTGTGATTGTCAGTTGGGTCTATGTAACCAGAACGGATTTAAAAAAAACCGAAAATTTATTTATTTGTTACTGTAAAATAATAAAAAATTATAAACAAATTAAAAAAACTCCAGCGTTACCCCGTAAATTATGTATAGAAATATTGTTCAAAATTTCAGGATCGCCGACTTTAAAAACGTGAGTTGTGGGAAAAACGCCTTAAAGTTTTGAAATCTGATGTAAAACGTTCAAAAAATAAGTATAAAAATATTCGTTACTATGATTTGAACATAATGATATCATTCAAGACAAAAAAATTAAAAACCCAACTTCCCTTAAATGTGCAATTGATATGAAAATAAATGTTATATACATGTATATATGTATTTCCGAGTTTTATTCATCTTAAAATACTAAATGTACGAGTACATATTATGTATGTGTTTTATTCAGAACTCAAACTTTTAAGCATGACTGTAAGTCATACATTGAATTAAAAAAGCGTGTATAATGTTGCAGCACTGTGAATATATAAAAATAATATATACATATATACGAGTATTGTAAAACAAAATTTTTGTATGTATTACATATATTTGGAAATACGCCCTATAAAGAATATTTTGAATGCTTTATTATTCTTTGTTTATTATTTTATTGTGCTATTACAACACAATACAATATAATATTTTGCAAACGTTTAGTGCAGAAATGTCACATTCTAAAATCCATAGCTCAAACTTTCAAAGAACATACTTGTAAATATGTTAATGATACGCAATTTCGAATAAGACCCATCTCTTTTAATGCAAAAAAAGTTACAATTGCTGTGGTATTTTGCGATCCGTTCAACAGAACATACATATGTACGAGTATATACTTCTCTTAAACTGGAGTCGCCATTTAGTAACCAATAGAGCTTCATGCCGCGACATATTGATGTAAAACGCAAAAAACATATATCCAATTTCGAGACAGTTGTTATTAACTTGACATAAATGTATGCACATGCATTCTCATTTCTTCAGAATAGCTTACAAATATAACAAATTTTATGTTGAAATCAATATACAAGTATACATACATATGTATACATATATATAGATATAAGATTATATTGTATTATATATATATATAAGATTATATTGTATTATAATTATATATATATACGTATATGTATATATGCTGTATATTTGTTATAAATGAGTTCGCAACGTAAAAAGTAGTAACAAATATCGTTCGAATGTGAATTGAAAGTATTCGTTTTATATTTAATTTTGTATCGCAGGTGTCACCCGATAAATAGAATTCTACGAAGCCGTGTGTTACACCGAAGCAAATTATCGTATATAATTTTTTCACAGTACACATGTACATATGTATATTATACATACCGTGTAATTACATATTGTCTGTAATTTCGTACTGAAAAGTAATACATATAAATATATACATACATGTATACTATTTTTTTTAAATGAGAAAGCATATATATGCATGCATATGTACATAAGTATATGTAGAAAGCACGTAAAAACATATATGTATGTGCCTAGTTTTTTATATAATTAATATTTTTCCGTTTATTTCATTATTGTTATTATTTAACAATTTCCACTCTCCTTAAAATAGATGTAGGTATATTTATTAAAGTGCATATGTATTCATATATGTATACAGATGTTGCACGGTGTAAATACTAATGCAAATAAAAACTAGTACATTAAAACTTTAGTCTAAAACCAAAAGTAGTAAATTTATTGAATAGAAAATCATCTTTTCAACAAGTTACTAAAGCAAATTTTTACCACATAATATTAGAATGGCTATACATAAATGTTTAGGAAATCGCACAATATTTAAAAAAAACAATGGAAATGAATATCTACTAAGAAAACTAGCATACCAATACAATTCAATTAGATTATTGAATATTAGTATCGATTTAGTTCAAATCATTTTATTTAGAAATATGATATTTAGTTGTCCTTTGAAAACAAATAAAATTATTTTAAAAATATTTCACTATTACCTATATAAAGATATAATAAAATAAGCATGAAATAAAGAAGACTAATAATTTTTTTCTAACTTACATATGAAGACGGAATATTGAAACTCAGTGTACAAAGCCACAACATTTAATCTTTTTTCAATGTTTTCCACATGTACATGTATATGAAATAGTTAGTTGTAATAGCATTGTGTGAGTTGCATCCATTATTAAGCAGCAGTTACATATTTTTCAAAAAATTCCGTTAATTAAATTTTTTAGTGTATGCATATTTTTTTTTTTAATTATGTCGATATTTAAATAAGCGATGACTGTGGCTGCAGGTGCTGTCGGAAATGATCAGCTGCACCCAACCCTACATCAACACTTGCTCCAGAGCCAATGCCAACAATACGCCCAGCGCTAGTCTCCAGGGGCACTACAATGTTGCGTAAACTGTCGATGCTATTGCGAAGTTTAACGCTCTGAAATTTCGCTGGCAATTTCGGCGAACCTCCCACTGAGAATGCTTTAAACTCCTATGAAATAGGCAGCGTTCAAGAAATAAGACAATTTAAATACAATCAAAATTAATATGCATACGTTTTTTGGTGTGTTTTTTAATTGAATCAAACTTTTGTGTACAATAATAAAGAATCGCACAAAACGCTTAAAAAATATTTGTAAACGCAACTGCGTCTAATATATACTAACTAACCAATATAAAGTATTTCAAAGTGATGAATTTCATGTGTACATAAATTTGAATAATTCATTTGGCAATAACCGAACTGAAGAAAATAAATAAGAAATATAAACATTTGAAATAAATTCGGAGTTCACTTACAAATAGAATTATATGTATTACACTATACGACAAAAACGACTTTTTTTTCGGGTATTGGACCAAATCAATTTTTTTCGACTGATTATTACTCAATCAAACTTAATTTTCGAACTTCGAAGGCGAATAGCTCGATTTTATAGGCTAACTTCGATAAGCGGAAAAATTACTTTTTTATTTACATATATCAATTAGTTCCAATACCCAGTAAGTGTTATACAATGTTATGAATTGAAATGAATTTGAAAATTTGGAAATAAATGCTTTTGCACTTTTGATTTTATTTGTAAAATAACCAAGTAAAAACGCACGAGATAAAAATTAAATTATTTTATATAAATTGGATGTTGTCATGTGAAGAAAACTTTTTCAAAAGTCAAATAATGGCGTTAAAACTATACCTAAGTGTATGTTAACTTAAACTGGCATCTTAAAGGAAGCCTTTGGAAATTAATATTGAAAATTGCAGTGTCTCCATATGTACTGTTCAAGATACCTGATTACTGCTGGGTGAATTAGTTTCACTACCAGCCGCTGAGGCACCAGCAGATGCATGTTGGGTGTAAGATTGGAATGTTGGCAAAACAGGGTCGCGACTGCCACGTGTAGTTACCTTCTCTTGCAATGAATTCAGTGTTTTCGAAAGCCATGGTTGCCAACTGGTCCGATTGGATTGCATTTCTGTAATGGTGGCGCTCAGCTGATGATTCAAATCTTGATTGCGACATTCAGCTTCGACGTGTGCTAACTTAGCTTGTGCCAATTCCAGTTCTAGCTCACGGATACGTTGAGTTGCTATATTTATGGGATCAAGAGGACCTAGTGGTGCCTCTGTCTCTTGCTTGTTACAAGTCTGTTGCGTTGATTTCATACCACTATTTCTGCTTACTTGAGCTGGTAATCTTACACTACGATCGGCATTTTCCATTTTTTGTACACAATTCTTGCACTTCGACACTATGTTCTGAGAATGGAAATTTGTTCAATGGATGCCTTAGAAATAAGAGTGAACTTTAAAACTACTTACCATTACATTGCCTAGCGTCTCATTCAAATTTGTAATGTCATTTTCCAAGCGTTGTATTATTAATTTATAGTCCTGTATGATGCCTGTGTGTTTCCTTTCTTTATCTATTGCTCTTTCGTTAGCTTCAATCAATTTTTTTTGGTGTTCATCGATGTCCGCTTGTAATTTACGCCTCTCTTCCCCAAAACGATTTTCATAAATTTGTGCCTCTTTTTCCAGACGCTCTTTGTGTTGCTTTTTCAATTGGAATTCCTCCTCGTACTGTTTTAATTTCTTAATTTTTCGTTCACAAGCCATTTTCATAACCCGGCGTGCCTGACTAGGGCTGCGGCATTTCTTCGGTAATGTTACACGGAAATATTTTAGTATGCCTTCGAAATCAAGTTGACGTAAGTCAACCTCACAAATAGAAAGCAATGTCACAGCAACCTGAAAAAGCAAGGGTACGCCATCTAAAAGGAACACGTCGAGTACATGAAATACGAAACATAATGGAAAACGGGCTGTGAAGAGTGTGAGAAACCATTGCGAAGCGTACATGTGTGTCTCAATGCCACAAGTTGCAAAATGTTCGTGTAATTTGGGCAATTGATCTTTGATCAAACGGTCAAGTTGGTAGAGCCGTAAATAAAGTACTTCAAATCCTTGCTTATACAAGTCACGAAGGCCATAATCGTACATAAGAGCAACCAATACACAAAATGCATCCTCTTCAGGCATCTAGATAATGGAAGAATATGTTTAAAAATATTTACGAAAAAATATGTATATATTCATATCATACAACTTACATGCAACAGTAGACTTGCAGCAATAAAACTTAAGCCCTGGCAATAACCGACTTCACTGTCATAAACGGCATATGCCTTTGAGACCTTAAAGAGTGAGTCTTGTCCTAAATCAAAGGAATTTCCATTGTAAACGATAAATTTGAATCAGGATAAAATAATTAATTACCAGAACCACCACTCTCTTTGAAGCATTTGTGTGCCGGAAATGTTCTATGTATATCCCGTTGTATTACAGTTTCACATTTGGTTTCCTACAGAAAAGTTGGAATATTTTGGAATTTTTTGGCTTGCCAATGTTTATTACTTACTTTGGTAATTAAAATTTTATACATGTCAAGCATTTCAGTTTTGCCCTCAACATTTGCCAGTTTCTGCCATATTTTTTCACGCAAAGCTTCCGGTATTCCCAAACGTACCAAAGGAGCCAAATTTTTTGGCCTTTTTTCACTATCCCATTCCTTTAATATTGGATCCCACTCATCAAGTTTATCCTGTGAACAGTCTTTGGATACCTCCCCTGTACCGCTCAACAAGGGTTCATCACCATCTGAACTATAATCGGTAGGGCAATCATCCTCCATAGATACAATCGATGATGATCGCACAATGCGTGATAAATTGTTCATACCAAATTTCAACAATGAAGATTGTTGTTGCGGTTCATTGATTTCTTCAGACGGATCAATTGAGTTCACTTTCCAACTGAATTCATCGGTTGTACGTTCTAATTGTAGATAGAAGCGCAATGTCATTGGGCGTTTAGATATAAAATGATCCATAATGCGTATCTCACTAGCCGACTGTATTACAACGGGTGTCTCAATAACAAAACGTACAGGGTCGCGAATTCCACGCACTACTATATCGACTGCAACAGTCAGAAAATTTTTTGAAGCTTCAACATTTAGTTGTTCGAAAGCAGCTTCATTGGCCTTCCATTCGGCGCGTATAACATAAGGATAAAGGCATAGCGGCATGGCTCCCGAGCCATTGGCATTGTCACCAGCACCGACACAAACAGTCGTTGCTCCATTAGCGTTACCTCCGCCTACAGTGGTTGTAGGTGTCTGATAGCTCATGTTTACCATATCAATCAATTGCATATCGCCCTGACGTACTAATTTTCCGGGGCTTAATAGTACACCAAAACAGCGTTCTATAAACAGAGGTTGTAGTATATTTGAAGGTGTTTGTTTGACGGTAATTATAACTTCTTTGTCAATGTTAGCACGTAACTTGAAGCAATTACGATCACGTGGTACCGCCGAAAATGAGTTTTTGGCAACCTTTTCACGTATTTCCAGGGATACAATAAATTCATAGCCGGCCGTATTTAATGGATTTCCACTAACATCGGATGTCACTGAGTTCATCATATTACTGTCGATGGCAGATGTCAAACTGCATGTCATGCTTGGGGGATATGTACGAAAAGCCTTTTGAAAGCAAGCTTTGTAATAGAGAATTTAATATATAATAAATATAATAAAGTTTATAATAAGTAATTGTATATTTCCTCTCACCGCTGACTTGATTAACCGCTTCTGGTATATGGCAACGAAACACATGGCATTGAAAAAGCGCATCGCCATGTAACCAAGTAAATGCAAAGCAACCATTTTCAGCAGTTTCTACAGGGCCTCGAAAGTATAAAATAATGCTTTGTATCTCGTAGGTTGCGATGACAGAGTTAGTTTCAGCGTCGTGCAAGCTAATCAGTATATAGATAGAGAAAAAATTATATAAATATTCCTGGTATTGGTTTATAAATAACTTACACAACTAGCCCATCGGAGCAATTCGGGATGCTCACTGATATTTTAAGGCCAACTGACTCTGAATTACTGTTCAATTCATTCATAATTCGGTATATGTCGATTTCGGATTTGGGGGCATTTATGTTTGCAGCTCCAAGATATGTGACACCGGAAAATATAGTGCAACCCTGATCGATATCTGAAACTAAAATATAAACGTTTAAATACAATAAAATATAATACATACGTATAATGTTAGTTTCGTCTGTGGTAAAACATACATGCACAATACTATGTACCAAACATTGAACAGCAGTTTATAATTAAAAAGAATCTATCAAAATAAGAGGACGTGAGGCTCACCTTCTTCGTCTGTATCATTCTTCTCCGGCTTCATGCTGTCTTGTTTTTCTTCAACACCACCACCAATACCACCTGGACTTGCATCAATGCAGTCATAAAATACCGATTGACCAACTCGATTTTGTTCAGAAGTTGACGCGTCATCGCTTTTTGGTGTCATAGCATAGTCTGTGTGGTGGCGGTTTAATGATTGTGACTTCATTGTGGTTTTCGGTGGAACTAACTGTTGCTGTTCGCAATCGTTGTCTGGAACCAGCAGTGCCGGGCTTGACGTACCAGCCAATGGTAATGTCAGGGATTTTTGTTTACTCAACGCTACCGCTTTGGGTGCTGCAATATATTGATAATATGAGTACACTTCTAAATAGCAAAATACTAATGCCGTGTGGTTTAAAGATAATTCTCATTATTTATGAAGAGATGAGAGGCGTTGTTGTTATCGTGGCTTATGACGTTGCTATACAACACATTGTTCTGTTTTGTTAGCAGCTGTTAGTGGTTATTTATTTTTTATACCGATATCCCTACAACCGGTCATTAGTGAATGGTGAGGAAATAACGAAGTAATATTTGAAATTATTTAAAACTATTTTGTTAGCTTCTAACTTTGAAAACATAAAAAGGTAATAAAAATTGATTTAAAATTGTTTATCTTAGCTTATTATTTAAATAACTCATTTTATGGAAACTATACGAATGAGTGGAAAAAGATTACTTTAAACTTTGCACCAATTTTAGTAAAATATTAAAGCTACACAACTACGAATATAATTGATTTTTAGTTTTAAAATACTTTTTTCGAATACTTTGAAGGGTACAAGAATTTTTCATTACAACAAAATTACGTTTTACTGCACAAAATACAATCAACATATACATATGTACGTATATTTAGGTAATAAAATTTTCTTAATTGTGGGATATATAACAGCCAGCCCACCAGCTAACGTACATGAACATTTCAGATGATACGAGATTCGTGAAGAATAAATTTGTCTACGTATGTTTTTATTATATATCTAACTATAGTTATATAATTATAATTACATATAGATTTTACAAAGAATAATAAATAAAAAGTAAAGCTGCTCTTACCAGTTGAAGAAGTGTCTGAATTTAAATCTATTTCACGCAAAGCGTCCGTCATAGCATGTTGTAAATCAGCAATATTACGATTATTAGCTAAATTTAGTGTTGGTGATTTGTTGTTTGTCGGTATTACTAAAAGTGTACCATTTTCCGACATATCGTGGTGATCTATTGGAGTTGTAATATTGCTATCAGAAACAATTTCATACTCTCCACTTGTGGTTAGTGAGGATTCAGAAGATTTCGTACTAAGGTTATCATCCATGTCTCAATATCGGAGATATGTCTACCGGTGAATATTTCTAACGTAAATGTCTTCTATGTTTACTTCTTTAAAGTTGTTTAAGATGTTTTCAAAGTTCTGTATATGCGAGTACGAGCAATGTCGTCCGTTTGTACTCGTTTCTGTACTTTCATATGGCTAAATTTAAGCGGTGTGTGAAAGGTCATACATGTGTATGTATGCAAGAAAACTACTCCAGGTAGATATGTAGGTGCGTAGTATAAGGGACGGCCGCGTTTCGCTTTGAACAATACCCAAGGAATCCAGTAGGTACAACAAAGAAATTGAAAACTACAATGCAATACTTAGCTGTTTTTCCATGGGTTAGTCGAATGTTTTTTTATTTACATATTTCTAATCTTAAGTGACGGCTCGATTATAATAAACTAAGAATGTAATACAAGTTACTCTTTTTGTTCGTATTCTTAAAGCTTGGGCTGAAAATATACAAAAGCAATTAATTTTATTCAGATTCAATCGTCTCTTTTTTGATCTGATCGATGATGACGAATCGCAATCACTATTACAATTGAGGTGTTAGTCTATACGAGAATTGTACGAAAAATTACAATGTTTGGGTGGGTGGTGCGCCCGATTCCAGTACAAATAGCACAGCCAACCATTGCTATTATCGAATTTTGAAAACAAAAACCACATGAAATAATTTCCAAGTATATACTTCCATTTTTTAGCTAAATCAAACTTTTCACTGCCTCATTTATTGCAATAAGTGATACTTTACTCTATATTTTTGTTTTGTTATTGATTTTCACAATTTTTATGTTGATAATTAAATGTACAGCTATTTTCTGCCTTGTGAAAATCTCAACTGTGCCTTTTGACATCATTTTATTTCACTCCTTTTTATTGTTATTCGTTGAATACAAAGTGCTACCACTATGAAATAATAGAAACAACGGGCAGAAATCTCTTATTAAATTAATTTTCCGGCCAAATTTAGAATTTTGAAGAATTCATTATATATAATTTCAGTAAAATTTTCCAATTTTATTTAAGGAAGCAATACCAATTAGAAACTTTTAATTGATGTCGAAATGAAGATTATGAGCTTATTTTCATGTTTCTTATTATTATTCAATTTAAATTAAAAATTATTAATTAACTTAAAACGTTCGCGTGACAATCAAATTAAATGAGGCAATATATATATATATAAATTTTTTTTTTCAGCTTATCGCAAAACAACATTATCGAAAAGATTAAAATCTATCATTCTTGATTTATGTATATGTCATCTCCAGTCATGTATTTATTTTTTTCGTGTACACTGTATTAGATCCGGCAATTCTTATAACTGTCATAAAAATCGCATGCTACCGCCATGAAATTTTTATGAACACGCGCACGTTTATAGTAAAGGACAAATTTTATCATTTTAATATTTCTGTAGAATTCAACAGTGTGTTGATTGTTGAAATAAAATGTGGCCAAGATTCGGTATCAAAATTGGCAATAGCACGTTATGCATTGCTCATGTAAAAAACGACGGTAAACCAGAAGTTATTGCAAACAAACAAGGTGACCGAAACTCACAAGCATGTCTTCTCTGGGGTGGCGACGAGGAAATTGAGTGTGGATTAACAGCAAAACAAAAGATGGCCACACGTCCGAAACAAGCAGTCGCTAATAGTTTTCAACTGCTTATGCCACAAGAGTTAGATGAGGAAAGACTAAAAATAGCTATAAAAGAGCTCCCGTGCGACTATGATGCCCTCAGTCATACTTTCCAGCTTAAATGTCAAATACAAGACGATAAAAGTGACGAATTGAGAGAAAACGTTCGTGAATTGACACCTTTTGACGTCCAGGTTAAGCTTTTTCGTGCAGAATTGGAATTAGCTCGTCAATATCATATTTCATCGGAAAAAGACCCAGTTGTTGTAATCTCCATACCGAGTTACTATCCAAAGTCTGCTTGGCCAGAATTAGCTCGTGCCGCAAAAGAAGCAGGATTTCATGTTGCTCAAATTATTACAGAGCCGACTGCAGCGATACTTGCATATGGTATTGGAGAACAAGAAGTAACTGAAGTCAGCACCAATAACGAAAGTAAATACGTTTTAACTATAAAATGTGGAGGTTTGAACAGCCATTTTGCATTATACGAAGTTAGAGATGGACTCTACACCCAGTTGGATGCATACGGACCATATCCAATTGGTGGTCAACATTTCACGGACGCTCTAGTTCAATTCATTTGTGAAGAGTTCAAAAGAAAATATAAATTAGATCCGCATGAGAGTCGGCGATCTTTGTCAAAAATACGTAATGCAGCAACCAACTGCAAGCATATATTAACAACACTTCCCTCAACTCAAATATATATTGACTCACTTATGGATGGAGTTGATTTTAATGCACAAATGTCGCGTGCACGATTTGAAAGCCTTATTCAACCGGTTATTAACAATTTTATGCAGACATTACACGAATGCGTTGAACGAGCGTCAGTGGAACACAATGAAATAAAAGGCGTTAATGCAATTGTCTTGCTGGGAGCCACAATGCGTATACCAAAACTGCAATCAGTCATTGCGGCACGATTCCCCGACGCTCAATTACATTCAACAATCTCCGCTGATGAGGTAGTAGCTATAGGATGTGCTCGACAAGCCACATTCCTTCACAATCCACTGGAGCAAGACCTGCAGGCTACAGATGAGCGAATATATCTAGAAGAGGATCTTGTAATTTGGCACGGCAAAGACGAATCAAACGCGCAAATACTAATAGGGAAGGGTACCTCTTTACCACGCAAAGTACTGCTTGAGCTGAAACAAACAGAGGGTCCTGAAACTGACAGCGTTATCCACGTACGAAGTGGTGATAAAGTCAATGAAGTATCTTTGGAAGGTTTGACACCAACTGACAATGGCATATATCGCATTGAGGCAGATATTGATTGCAAACAAGTAGGCGCCGAACCTGTTCGTAAACCACATTTGCGAATACGTGTGGTCTAAAATTGTTTGAGATAATTTAGAAATTTCTCATATATATTTTTTTATAGTGAAATATTTCTAAACCTTTATTTGGTTAATGTTAATAAACTTATACATTTTACCTGAAGCTTGGGTTATTTTCACTTATTTTCAAATTGTAACATAATTGTGTTTTATACGTCAGTGGTGTTGAAATCATTTTGTTAATGCTTACCTGATGTTTTTTTTGGTAAAGCACTTGTCAAAAAAAAAAAATATGTATTACGAAATAAATATTTATTTTAGAATTAACATTTTGATTTAATAAACCTACCATACGTCATGATATGACATCTAAAATTCCATTGTTTGGTCACTTACATCAATAGCTTTTGCTTTTAAACTACTTTCCAATTTTCGCAAGAATTCTTCAAACACTACAACTCCTTTAAACATACCAGTCTTCTTGTAGTCTTTAATGCGGCTTTTGTCTTCCGGGCCATTCTCTTGACCTTTTGATTTGTCGTCAAATGCGTTAATCTCTTGCAATAACTGTGCTATATTAGGTACTGTAGTAGGGTCGAATTTTGCAGCTGCATTACAATTGAACGGAACACAGACCTTCCCAGTTCCTGGGTGAATACAAAACGGCGATTTGAGTAAATGATTCATACCTTTGGTGACATTGATGTCTAAACGAGGGTAAAGTATACCCAACTGAATCTCCTCAACAATATTTTTGAATTTGCGTGTCCATACGTTAGCAGTACCTGTTCGCATAGAATTTGTATACCGGACAAAAGTAGCCCATATTGTTCGCGAATGTGCACCATCATCATGCGTTTTCTTTAAATACGCTTCTACATCCTTGCGAGCCGTATCGTCCGGAATCATTAGTAATAATTTATTAACTCCCTTGACGTCTCCAAATAAATTCTGATCCTCCAATACAATCTCCTCAAATAATGGCTCGATAAATTTTAGCGCACGTCGAATACTATGATGCATACGTTCCCCAATTTGAACGCGCGCTATAACCACACCATTGATGGTAACGTTAGAGGTGATTTGTAGATACTCGGCAAGTGCCGATCGCCCTCTCGAATCTAAGTGGCGTGCATCATAATCACATACCCAACCGTGCACACCACGACGCCCTGAAAATACCCATAATATATGCTCGAAACCAAAATCTTCACGTAGAGCTGCATCAAGAAGACGGGCGGCTAAAGCCATGAATTTCCAGCATTTCAAACATACCGTTGCACCAGTGCAACAGGTGCGCACATCGTTATAATCATCCATGTCTATATCGAACACCAGCTCACGCTGTACTGGTTGCATTGCGGTTGATGTGATACGAAAGTTCTTAGGTCTAGAAAATTAAAGTATTTCAAAGTTAATATACATACTCGTACATACATAAACCAAATATTAACAAATCTCACTTGGTATTCATAACTGCACCAATGTCGATTTTGTGTGGACACGTCGAGCAGATGTCGTTTTCCAATTCACTTTGAGTATCGTAACAACGATAACGAATGTATATATCATCGTGAAGAGTGTAAGAGAACTCCCGGTTCGAAAAAATATTGCTTTCAGCTAAAGAGTTTCAATAAGCTTACGTAAATTATAATCATTCATAAAATTATGATGATAGCAGAGTTTTGACTTACAAAGCCCATATGATAACCAACGGTAAAATGGTTTATGCGGAAATAATCTTTTGTAATAGACCGGTAGCATGTCCGGAAGTATGTTGGGATCATATTTAGCCGTGTTCACGGTTGGAGTTTCTTCTTCTGGCATTTTAAATGTTCGTTGTTTATACTTTAATTGCTGAAATCATAAAAAATATAAATATCATTTAGAAGTGCGCTTTATAAAGACATCTTGTTAATTAACCTTAATTTGGCAACATTCATAATTCAGTGGATTTTCAAATACACCAAAACAAAAATAAACAAAAACAGTTTTAATTGTTGTTATCGCCATTTATTTTATATTTTTTTAACTTATTTCAATAGATTCAAATTTTTATTACATTTTATTACATTTTTTAATTTTTTTTACATTATATCCTTTTGATCTAACGGAATAAAAATGTGCACGTACAATTAATATAATATAGTAGAACTTTAGAAACTCAATGCAATTATTTAAAAAAGTAAACATATCTAGTTCTAGCTTCAGTGGCTACCCAACCAAACAACACTAAGATTAATCAGTGTTCGCATGTAGTCAAAATGTTGTTATTATACACTTTTATATGTATGTAAACTTATAAACTACTTTGTCAAACAGTGATTAATTTAAACCTTATTATCCTGTTATGTAAACATGTACTTGTGTATTATATGTATAGGCTTAATTTACATACATATTTAAGAATGTATTTATATTTATATACATTCAATACCTTTGAAAGTTTGGTATATTTTAGATGTTAAGAAAGAGTTCACTATATATAAAATATAATTGTATTATCATTAAACTCCTTATATACGTAGATATAGTGCGGTTACACTCTCCGCAGACCACAATCGATTTACCCACATATTAAAACGGCATTAAGTAAATAAATTTGAAAATCGCTGCAATAACTGACTTTTATGTTCATATGTATATTATATTTCAATGCGGTGTTAGTAGAAAACTGAACCAAAAATTATTTGCGGATATTGAAGGGCTATTGCGTTGGTCTTATTATGTGTTTATTTTGTCTCAGTGCCGCCTTTATATGTAGTGCAAATGGAAAGTAGTCATGGTTTATTTTTTTTTTTAACTTAAGCTGCTACTTTCAAGTTCTTTTATAATCTTAGTATTAGAAAATATTTTAATTAAAAATATTCACGAGTTGGTTGAACTTTTACTGCATTATAAGTCAGAGGTTGCGGACCCTGTGTGATTGTGTCTTTTCACGCAACTGATAAACTTATATCCTGCAATTTGTGCTCCTGGTAAGACTGCTCAGTTTGTTTTAATGGTGGAATCGTACTGTATAATGTTATTGAGGCGATGTGATTGTTTGTCATGACCTCAAATATTATATCCTGATAACCATAGCAAAAAGTTGCACCGAAGGGATTGGCAGTGTTTGTTGAGCTAGCGCGATGAAGCACCACCGGACGAGCTGACGGCACTACCGCACTAATCTCGTCCCATTTGGCGTATGCAGTAATTTCAATGTCCTCGGAGCTCTTTTTATCATAATTACAGTCATGATCATTTTCACTTTTCAAATTGAATTTGAATTCACAGCGATGGTACATGTTGAAGTTGAAATGTCCTGGGTAATTTGTGTGTAACACAAATTTTTTGCAAGTTTGGGTACGCGCATCAAATAAAACGTCAATGCCAAGTGTGAAATAATTGAAGAAAGTATCACTTCGTTTACTCTGCGCCTGGCGGTTTACACTGGAAGAGTGTATTTTCATTTTATCTTCACTTTTAAAAAAGATTCGATTTGGTGCACCAAGCTTCATAGCTACATCCTGACAGCTGTCGCCAAAGAGAACTTCCCTTGTAAAACATTGGCGCCGATGTTCTAATGCGCGACTAGATCCCTCTGTATATAATTTTAGTTTGAGACCCTTTGAATAACCATTTGTAGAACGTAACACTTTAGCTGAATCTAAATATATCTGTCGATGGTAACAAGAGAGTGGAAGCGGTGGAGCGCGTGTCTCCGAAACATTACTACCAGAGTAGAGAGACATTTTTGATACAACTGGCGACGCGCCACTTAAAAAAATCAATGATCCCAAACCATGTGCATATCCTTCTTGCAATTTACTATCCACTGGAAAAAAAAAACTCAATCCACGGAAGTGTAAAGCAAACAATTGCTTTGCAGCATCGTATACGCCAGGATGGGTAGCCCCAAAAGAATGTTCAATTTGTTCAATAGAGGGCAGAACTTCTGGGGAATTGAAGTGTACTCCACCATACTTCAGCTTTACCAATTTCATATTAAATACTTCAATGGTTTTCAAACGTTGAACTATCGGATCAAAAATTAAACGAACACCATCTTGAGGTAAATTTATTATAATATCCACACCCAATGGGTTTGTATCCGAGTAAAGTACTTGCACGCCTTTAATTATTCCCACTTGCGATTGTATTATTGCTATTGCTTGCGAAAAGTGCATCCCCAAAACGAACTCCCAAGCATCACATCCCATCGATAACTCAGGCACAATTTCTAAATCCAACATTTTATGACCGCAAGGGTTTAAAGATTCAGTATTGAATACTAGTGATGTCTTATTCCTTCGCTTTAAATAACAACACAAAAGAAATTTAAAAACTAATCACTAGTTATTACGATCCTCAAATATCGCAAATTTTAAATTTTACTCTAACAATGTATCCAGAAGAGGCTTCTGTGCCCCTGAACTTAGTTTCTTTTATCCAATTTCTTGTTTTTTCTTTGTGCGTTTGTATATTGTTTCTAATGTCTGGCGTCGCAAACTGAAACGCAAAAATTTTCAAATTAAAAAAAATCTATTCAGAACATTCAAAAGTCAAAAGTTCAAATCTTACTTGCAGGTTGTTATCAGTAACTCTGTTTGAGTATGAAAATAAAACTCTTTGAATCAAGGTAAATAAAATTAAAAATAAATTTGGTTTCTCAATTCGACGTAATACACACAAATCCACACAAAGCACCCAGCAAAAAAAAATATTTCGATTACAGCGAAAACAAAGACAACAGCTGAGTAGAAAATGAAAAACTCAGAGTTGCATTTGACTTTATACTTTTTGAATAACCATTAAAAGTAACTATAAAGCAAAAATCATAGGCAACTTGGTAAAAATAGAAATAAGAGAAAAAAGCTAATTTATAGTTTCTCCCCAATGAAGAAGGGCGCGAAAATAATATTTTTTTGTTTAACCATCTTATTTTGACGCGAATAGGACAAATCTGTGAGCGTTAGGTCGATTTCTTCAATAATTCTATTTTTTTTTTATTTCAAATAATTAATTTGAAAATTAAAATAAACACACTTTGCGCATGTTCTTATTTCAATGTGTATAGCGTAATTACAACTAAGTTAATTGAAAAATGTGTTATATATTTATATATATATAAATTATTGAAAAAAATCACCTCCCGTTCACGGATTTATCACTTTCGAGTCAAAATGAGACGATTTAAAATAAATTATAATTTTCGCGGCCTCGTTCGTTGGGGAATCTAAACTATACATTCGCCAAAAAAATTATAAATTTATAAAAAAAAAAATTTACTTAAAAATGGTTAGGGATTCACAGTGAATAGGGTATATTCAATAAAATTAAAATAAAAAAATCTCCGTAGATTTTACACCAAAGAGTAAAAACTTTCGATTAATTTGGTCACCGTATAAGACATATTTGAAAGCATTCCATATATATCTATATAAAAATTTTACTAGGCAGCACTTTTATACTAATGGCGGGAATGACCACCTTTTATGTCAACTTACCCTTGTATGGTTTTAAACACACAAGTTTTAAAACTTTAAACACTGATAAATATTCTTTTGGTTTTATTAACCAGTCCGTTTGCAAATATCGTTTATTAAACAAATTGAAAAATCTTATAAATTGTTTCAATAAACTCAGCCAATTTTCATCTATATCTATATAAATCACCACCACGCGAACAACTTGTCAAAGCAAAGGTAGACAATCACAGAGTTGTACAAAAGCAATCACTCACCAGTGTTCAAAGTGTACTGGGATTGTAATAGATCTACTTAAAATTATATCGAGAAGTAAAATTTGATAGTGAAGCAATTTAATTTATTGACATTAATTACCATTATATATTAGTCCATTATATAGACTATTTTTTATATATTAATTATTTATATAAATTATTAACCTTAATTACAAATTTGTGTGAATACAATACAACCATGTTCACGATGAAAACTTATACAATTCACCACCTTGGCCACTGAATACACCCCACACGTATACTTCTCAACAAATTTTATTTTGTTCGAAGTAAAAGTTAGAGTTTATCCTGTAAAAATTTAGAAAAATCTTGCTAGATTATTTCTGTAATCCTCTATTGGACAAGCCATATTCTATAATGTCTCGACAAGCTTCTCGTTTTGACACTAAAAAAGTTGTAAGTTCAAACTGATTGTTGTATTATTTTGATAGCGGGTAGTCACTATCAAAGGTTCGCTTATATTCCATTCGATTTTGCAGTAATTGTTTGAGAAACCAAATTTGATTTCACGTCTCAGTTTTACAATATTCATCACAAAAAGGTGAATGGATAATAACCACAATACGACAAACATTATATATAAACAGAACAAGGCTGCGGGAAACATTACTGTTGTAGCACAAAATAATCGGAATTTGCAAAATCAGAAAAAAATACAATTCATCCCCATGATGACTGCAGGTGGAGCACAAATTATTATTGGACAAGTTCCACAACAACAAGCTCAAACTTCTAATGCAGCAGGAAATGCTGCAACGAGTCTTATCCCTCTTCACGCGAACCAAATAATGTTACAACAGCCTCAGCAAGCAGCTCAGCCCATGCAACTACTTCAATTACCGGATGGTCAAACAATATTTTACCAACCACCTACAACTTCATTGACGCTTGATCCAAATACAACTGCTGCTCAAGCAACACCACAGCCACAGCTTATAAATATTAACGGTCAATTAATGCAAATAGCTACGACTCCCACACATCCTCAAAGTACAACAAGTGCCGCTCCAGCAGTGGGACAACAAATAATTATGATGCCTCAAGCAGGAACAACAACAGTTGCAGTACCTCAACCTGCTGCTGCAGTATCATCGCAACAAACAACGTCTGCCACACTTCCCAATAGTACGGCAAATGATGTCACCTCAGCGGGAGTACAAGCGGAAGACGACTCAAGTAAGGGTGAATCGGAAGAAGAACCCCTCTATGTGAATGCTAAACAATATAAACGAATACTCATAAGACGACAAGCTCGTGCAAAACTTGAATCCCGTATACCTAAGGAACGTTCCAAATATTTGCACGAATCTCGACATCGTCACGCAATGAATAGAGTGCGTGGAGAAGGCGGACGATTCCACTCAGCTCAAATTAAAGGTGAACTAAGTGCATCTGGCCTTAGTAGCTGCGATACGCAAATGCAACCGGTACAAACACGAGCATCTGTGCGTACTGCACCAAAATTAATCGCTCCACACCAAGGGCCCATTCCAGCGCCAACGCCTAATATTACAATTACACCAATAAAATAAATGATTTGGGAAAGTCCACAATAAACAAATCCAGTTTTAGTTATAAGGAAATTATACTTATATTTATTTTCCCCTCTAATTAAATGTTACTTAGATAAAGGCTAACCGCTATCAATGTAACAGTAATATAATTTCCTCTAATAAATAATTTGTAATCCCCAGAATGCAGAGTTCTTAACGCTCACTTATGGTGCGCTTGTAACTCAAATGTTACGTGATTTTGAAAACATCGAAGATGTAAATAAACAACTTGAACGTATAGGCTATAATATGGGTATGAGATTAATTGAAGATTTCTTAGCACGAACCTCCGCTCCACGCTGCTTGGAAATGCGCGAAACAGCGGATCGCATACAACAGGCCTTCCGCATCTACCTTAATGTGCAACCGACTATTTCAAACTGGTCTGCCTCTTCAGACGAATTTTCATTAGTTTTTGAAACTAATCCGTTGACGGAATTCGTCGAACTGCCTACGGATTTGACCAACTTGCGCTACAGTTCCATACTTAGTGGTTGTATACGTGGTGCTCTCGAGATGGTTCAATTGGATGTCCAATGCTGGTTTGCTCAGGTAATATCTGGCACATACATATAAGTAAAACGATTTTTGAAAATTCTGAAATTTAGAATCTGCTGGGATTCAGTTTCATTGTATTTAATATCATTGCCATATAGTTGATTGTAATTTGATTTGGTTCAAGATAAAAAAATTACGAATGTTTAGTTTTACCAAATTTTTCACATATATCACTTGTTTATAATTTAGGATCAACTGAAAGGTGACAATGTAACAGAGCTTCGAATTAAATTTGTGCGACGCCTAGAAGATGCTATTCCTGCAGGCGAGGATTAGGAGGTAGTGGCACTGATTACTGGAATATTTCATCGTAAGATTGATAGCAAAGCATATTATTAGCATTCCTGTATTACTCTTTGTTCAATTACATAAGCGTGACCAGCAAATTTTGGTTTTCAACCCCTATATTTTAAGGAAAAAAGCCCGCTTGCACTTCAAATGTAATAGAAGATAGGAATCTAGCTAATAAAGCTTAATGCGGCGAGTTATTATTTATATAATTATGTATATATTAAAACAACATTTAATTGAATTTACAATATTTTTAATAAAGGTAAACATTATAACAAAGTACAAAGCAATTCATAATTGAATATATTTATTAATACATAATACAGGCACTTTGGTTAACTTGAACTTTTGAAACAAAATAAAATACAAACAAGTACTTTGGCTTGTAAGGCATTTTTATACCAATTACTCACATTAAAAATAATTAATAGTGATTCGTTTGTTGTTGATTTATAATTCCAAAAAGCATCATACATGAGTTTTTGCATAAGTATACATAGAATATAAAATTCTTAGTTACTCTTTTGAATTTTTGTTTAAATTTCAATGGCAATATTAATATTTCTTTTTTTAGCTGGCTTCTTCAGGCATACATGTCATTTATGTATACATGTACACAAGGTATACACGACTATGTACAAAAATGTAGTTATGCTATACATTAACTATAAACACTATTTGGATATCATCAAAGGCCAAATTTGTAGTTTTCTGTTATGTAAAAATCTTTTGAACAATATATAATTACAAAATATATACAATATTATACACTCATAAGTTAACTTTAGCATTGTTCAATTGTAATGTAAAAGAGAAATTTAACATGAAAAGTTCTAAGATTTTGTAATTATCTAATTCAATTTTTTTTTTCGAAGCTAATAGCAATCCTAATCTCTATAAATATTTGATCACTTTTAAATACAACAGTGAAATTGTTCTAGTATTTAATCAATTATGTTTTAATTAAACTATTGTATTTATTGTATCATTATTCAGATACGCAAGGGTTTAATTGTACAAATCTTAAACTGTTAATAATGGTAATTGGGGTTTTAAATCAAATCTTTGGTGTTGGAAAGGCTAAAGACCATGGTTAGAAACTCATTCAAATGTTTAATGTCCCTCACTTTTCAAATGGATACATTTTTAAATTAAGCACTTAAATTTTGACTCTGTGGACAAACCATAAGATTTAGATTCTTTCGTGTCAGTACACGACGCAAAGCCTGCAGAGTTTTAGTACAGATAACAACGCAACAGCCATTGGCAACACCTTCAGCTGGGCTCTTGCACGTGCAAGAAGAACTTTTAAGTGACTTTGGGGGAGGGGCACTGGGGCTGCCTGCGGTTGACGAAGATGTATTTTTTACAACAGTAGACTTCGGCCCACAGCAGCTGCTGCTACTGCCGCCTATTGAGGTTATTTGGCTTGTTGTTTTGGACATATTAGATGTACCGCAAGCTCCGGGTGTATTCTTATTGCCACCACAGCAACCGCCACCAGTACTACTACCCATAGAAGCCAAGTTTTGCAGCAATAATGCTACGTCCTCGATATTTTGATTCATGTCAGCTTCACGCTTCGCCGTAGCTCGATCCTTTTTACTATGACAACATTCCTTTCCGCGATTAATCGGTTTAGGCTTAGCGGTTGTGTTACTTTCCAATTTTTGATTAGGCATGTGTGGAAGCTGCGACTGGACTTGTGGTTTTTGGTTATGGCAACATTTGTGTTTATTATTTCCTTTTTTGCTACATGGCGTCTCATTGGTGCAACCACCTTGACAGTCCTGATTTTGATCGCATTTACAATTGGTACAACCACAAATTCCAGCATCAGCAGTTATTTGTTTCAAAGTTGGTTTGTCGCTCCTGAGATCGACTTCTATTAAACCTGAGGCGTCTTCTGGTACTTGCTTTGCCTGTTGTAATGTCTCTTGCAGAAGATGTGCATTATTATCGATGGTCATTAAGATTTCGTTTAGCAACGACTCGGTTTCCATATCCTCCGTATCATTATTGTATTGCATGTCCTCTTTCAATAGTTGTTCAATGCTCTCTTCAGTTGGAATCATATCCATGGATTGATCTGCGATTATTGAGGAATTAGCGACTGTCTCATCAATTTTGTTTGATATTTCTGATAATCCATTAATACTATTACTACCATCGATATCCATTTGTATGTTTGGCATAGCTTGCATTTGAGACGGCGCTGATATAGGTAGATCTAAAGTTGTTGGTTTGTATGTGTGGCCATTATTACTAATGCCTAAATAATCGCAGGGATCTGTTGATTCCGGTAGAATTGACGTACTAGTGTCCAATATAGACGCTGTGTTGCTTATAGTTGCAACTTCTGCCTTGCCGAAATTACCGTAGTTCTGTTGTAAATCTACAAAGCTTGGCACCTCGGTGGGGAGTGCTACACAAGCATTGGTGACTGGTGCCATTGGCATAATTGGTTTCGAAATAAGCACACCTGCATCCACCCAAGGAGTGGGTATTTCTTCTTCTGCGGCGTATGCCAGCTGCAATGCCTGCGACGTTTCCGGAAAAGATTTACATTCAATTTTAGGCGTTAAAATAGGCATAGTTGCATTTCTCACTTCTGCCATTTGTACAGCAAACAAATCAGCTCTATTATATTCAGCCGATTCCGATTTGATAAAACTTACTGGGCTTAGCGACGGCAAGCTGCCATCATCTACAATGCTTTGAATGCACGTGCTTTCCTCTCTTTCATCTTCTCCATTTGACGTGTGCTCCTCATTGTAACCACTACTATCGCTTTCTACTTTGATAGATGTATTTTCTGAATTTTCAGCAAATATCAACTGCTTATAATCTTTTTTCACTTTCAAACGGCGTTCCTTGTTATTGCTGGAGTTATTTTGCCTTCTGTTGCGTTGTTTTTGATGTGTTTTCTTGTGCGATTTCAGGCTGTGTGATGTACTGAAGGACTTCTGGCAACTTACCTCCTCACATGGGTAAGGTCTTTCCCCCGTGTGTGTGCGAATATGGGTTTTAAGATGGTGTGAAGCGGTAAAGGCTTTACCACAGGTGTCCTCAGGACATTTATATGGCCGCTCTTGAGTGTGTGTACGCATATGTTTTTTCAGATCACTCAAGGTGGTAAAGCATTTTTGACATATCTCACAATTAAATGTTTCACCGTTGTGCAATCGTAAGTGGGCCTGTAATCTGAAAAAGAACAAAAATTGCATTAAGCTTTAAGTATTTCCAAACTGTAAAAAATTTAAGACTGACATATGTCGAGATGTATGAATACCTTAGTGCAACCGCACATACCTATATTCTCGCTAAAAGAATTAGAGGCGTATACGTTCATCTTTATGTCTATAAAATTTTATTCACTTAATTTCAATTAAATATTGCTCCTATTGACCTTATTTTTATATTTTGACATTCAACTAAAGTATGTATATAAGTATAAGAAAATATCTGTATATATTTTTAAGAAAACAACTTACACATTGGGCGATTATTATATAAGGTAATACTTAATATGGGGACCTAGAAGATTCGCACTAATTACTTGAACAGGGTATATGAAGACCCTATAAAATATATATCTATAAATGATCAGCGTGGCGTGTTAAGTCGTTTTAGCTATGTCCACACGGACTGTCTGTATATACGCGAACTAGTCCCTCTGTTTTTGAGACATCGTCCTGAAATTTTGCACACGACCTTATCCCACTAGAAAGCTGCTTATTTATCAGAACCGCCGATATCAGATCAATATAGCATATAGCTGACATACAAACTGAACGATCAGAATCAAGCCCTTGTTTAGAAAACTTTTTAATCATCGCTACAATCGTCGAATGAATTGTTTAGATGGGACAACTATAGCATATAGCTGCCATAAAAACTGGCCGAATAAACATATATTCTTGTATAAATAACATTTTCATTTGGCAAGGTATCGTCACTAAATTTGGCATAGATTACACTGGTTTACAGTTGTTGTTGATGTTGTAGTCGCAGGAGTTCTGTCAAACAACAACAACTGGTCTACAGTAATTTGTTGTCCTAGATTTAAGATCGGTTTTTAATACAGTTCATCAAACTATCGTTTATTTTTTTAATCTTTAACTTTTAATTTTTTATTACAAAAAACAGAAAATATGAAACAAAATAAAAGATGTATACATAATACCAGTTATTTTTGTTTCAAAAAAAAAACGCCTTTTATGAGCTTTTCCTTGTAAATGTGACGGTCCCATCAACCTTGATACCTTTCGTTCATCACTTTTAGATCCTGGTTGAACCGCTCTCTCTGTTCAAACCAAAATTATGCGAAATTTTATCCAGATGATTGCGGAGATTGTCTAACTTGATAAAATTCAGACAGTTTGTCATCATATTTCGCACAATTTCTTCATAATTTGGGACTTAATGGTTATCTAGGAAATTTTTTCGCATATTTTCGGTAAGGAGCCTGGGAGTAGAGATCACGGGATGTTTGTATGCGCAAAAGAGTGCGCAGAACGCTAACCATGGCTGGAAAAATAAATTTAATCGCTAAAAAGCCGATAAATAGTTGAAATATATTATTTATTATAGCTTCAGTGCAGCCGAAGTTTGCGTTTTTTCTTGTTTTGTATATTTTTAACAACAAATCAAAGGCAAAGGCATCAACTTCGTTTCATTAATATATGGGTACTCATTTTTAGATGACCCAAGAGGCACTATTTTTGTTAAGTTTATGAAGTCTTAACACCAACATGTGAATTCCATCACGCCTTTTGAGTCTTTTTGAACTTATGTAACGAGACCTACACGCCACCTTTTGTCTCAGCAATATTTGCTGTAATCACCCCCGAAGAGATTTTTTCATGACAAGCTGTTGAGCTTTACAAAATTTGATAGTCTATAATATCTTTGACATTGCTTGGTTCAGTCGTTGTACACATACCTGTAACGTGTATTAAAAGCCTTTTCACAACCCGTTACTTCGCATTCATAGGGTTTCACTTTAGTGTGTACCCTAATGTGAATTTTCAAGCTGTACGACGTGAGAAATGCTTTGCCACAACTTTCTTCGGTGCATTTAAAACGATATTCTCCTATAAGTAATCCAATACAGAAATGTAAGAACAGTTATTAATAGTTATTAAAAACCTAGTTAGACATATTCACATCAATATATTTTTGGTCTAAATAAAGTTTAAGAATTTGACAATAAAAAGAGTATAATTGCATAACTATAAAATATACAAATATATTACTACCATAATACACATATTAGTTATAATCAAAT